TACAGAGGCAAATTTAATTTCATACCCTAAATTTGCAAATGTAGTTTCTGCTAATACTGAATTCCCTAAGAAAATAGGCCTGTTGATAAACTATATCTAATCATCTTTCTAAGACTTTACCAAGGAAAGGCATCTCTCTAGGCCACATACAATTTTACCATGATGAAATGCTCCCCAGGTAAAAATCAGGTGCCAGGCAGAGACAAAGAAAGTATCAGTATTCAAGGGATCAAGACTGAGGGCTCCATTGCTAGTGTGCCGGGGAAGCAGCAGATTCTGACTCAAGTTCTTGGGTCCCTGCCATCCACATGGGATCCCTGTGCATTCCTGGCTCCTGGCTTCAGCATGGCCCAGCTCTGACTGTTGCAGGCACTTGGAAAGTGAACCAGGGAATGGGAAATCTTTTCTCAAGCTAATGTTTAAATAAATTTATATAAACATTTTTGTAGTAAGGAAATATGACATGACTATGAAAGTATGTTATATTAGAATAAAATTACGAGAGATGGAAATAGAAGTCTGGTGAGAAAAGGAATAATACAAAAGTTCTCAGGGCTGGGGCTCTGGTGCAGCGGGTTAAAGCCCTGGCCTGCAGTGCTAGCATCCCATATGGGTGCCTGTTCAAGTCTCAGCTGCACTACTTCCAATCCAGCTCCCTGCTAATGCACCTGGGAAAGCAGTAAGAAGATGGCCCAAGTCCTTGTCCTCCCCATCACCCCACCCCTGTACCCAGATGAAGCTCCTGACTCCTGGCTTCCAATTGCAATTGACTCAGTTTTGGCCATTGCAGCCATTTGGGGAGTGAACCAGCAGATAGAAGACACCTTTCTCTCCCTCCCTCCCTCCCTCCCTCTCTGTAACTCTGGCTTTCAAAATAAACTTTTTGAACTAGCATGATATTAGCTATCAAGTTACTCAGATATTCAGATTATAACTAGGTATATTTTTGAAAGACCAATAGAACAGTTACTTTTTAATGTACTAAAAATTATGTGCTTTATAATTTTAAACTGTATAAAGTGATATTTTATCAAAATCTCTTGCAAATATGCAGGTAGAAAACCTAGGACCACTGGTATATATTTTCTTTTAAGACTTATTTATATATTTGAAAGGCAGATTTACAGAGGCAGTGGGGGGGGGGGGGGACGGGAAGAGGGAAGGATAGAGAGTGTGAGTCTTCCATCCGCTGGTTCACTCCCCAGATGGCTGCAGCAGTGGAGCTGTGCCAACCCAAAGCCAGGAGCCAGGAGCTTCTTCTGGGTCCCCCACATGGGTGCAGGGGCCAAGGACATGGACCATCTTCTACTGCTTTCCCAGGCCACAACAGAGAGCAGGATAGGAAGTGGAGCAGCTGTGACTCAAACCGGTGCCTATATGGGATGCCTGCACTGCAGGCAGCGGCTTTACCCACGTTGCCACAGTGTCTTTCCTAGACATGTCTTTTAACTCTCACTTGTAAAGTATTTCATGACAAAGATTTGGTTTTCTTCTAAATTCTTCTGCATTAATTTTAGACTTCCAGCTTAAATAGCTACAAGGTTGCATACATTATCATGATTTTGAAATGCATTATTAAAAATATTATTTCCGTAAGAAATTACAGACTTAAACTATGGAAGAAAAGGAAGCAGCTGGTTAACTTCCAATTACCCAGACTAAGGGTTTCAAGAAATAATGAGTTGACACAACTACATTCTATGACCATTATAAGTTTGGTTCCTATCATAAAAATAATTTTACTTTACTTCTGCAGTTTAATGTTTTCTCTTAAAATATGCCTTGACAGTCTGCATCATTTTTTACTATGGCATAGTATTCTATTCCATATAAATGTTCCATAATTTGCTTAACCACCTTTGGTTTTTTGGGATTTTTATTATTTTTCCTTTGAACAGGCAGAGTGGACAGTGAGAGAGAGACAAAGAGAAAGGTCTCCCTTTTTCTGATGGTTCACCGCTGTGGCCGGCGCACCGCGCTGATCCAAAGCCAGGAGCCAGGTGCTTCTCCTGGTCTCCCATGGGGTGCAGGGCCCAAGCACTTGGGCCATCCTCCACTGCACTCCGGGCCACAGCAGAGAGCTGGACTGGAAGAGGAGCATCCAGGACAGAATCTGGACCGGGACTAGAATCCCGTGTGCTGGCACCACAGGCTGAGGATTAGCCTATTGAGCCGCAGCGCTGGCCCTGTTTAACCTTTTACCTGCTGGCAAACAGTTTCCTTTATTGTGAATATTTTGCTATTAAATGCAATGCTTGAATCACATTCTTATACCTTTATATGTTCATATGTTCATTGTTTCTTTGAGGGCTGCCTACTGGAAGAATGAGTCCAAAAATATGCATATTTGGTTTTAATAGATAATGCAGATATCCCTTTAGTAAAGTTATACTAACAGTGCCTGTTTTGCTGTTGAAATTGAAGGCCCCCCCACCAGCATTCCTCAGTCCTCTTAAACCAATTTTTTCTATCACACTTATATCATTCGGTTCTTCCCTTATCTAGGCTGTAAACTCCAGAAGAGCAGAAGTGTAGGTTTTTGTTTTGTTCACTGATGAGCAGTGCCTAACACCTATTTACTTAATTGAATGGCCATGGTCATTTTATGTACACGTAAGTCTCAGCTGTAGCTACTACGTTTCTCCTTTGGCTCATCTGTGCCTGGCTTTAAATACGTCTCACCTGACCAACGAGGAAGTAGTCCAAGGAGCAGCCACAACTCCTTCAGAGCACATCATCCTAGACAAAGCACCGCAGTGGGCTATCACCTGGGAGAAGGAAGTGCATGCTCCTTCCTAGTTTGGACTCCCAGGGCAGCTTATCAAGAAAATGTTACCCAGCCAGTGCTGGCCACCCAGCTACAATGCTTTGCTTATTTTAGCCCCTCCCTTCCTGTTTCTCTCCTGCCAGTGCCTTAAGGGGCCTCAGAACCAGAACCATCCTTAGTAAAGCAGACACCACCTAGGCAAGTGACAGCACTGATCTTCCACACACCAGTTCTTTAGCCCCACACCTTTTACACTAACAATGGCAGCTTAGTCACAGACCTTGGGTTTGGTAGAGCACCAAGTTTCATTGTTTTCCTCAGGCCAGATACTGGCTGTGAACTGGTGAAACTAGAAAAAGAACAGCGATTCAGATCCAAGTAGCTGGGGTCCCGTACTCTGATATCAAAGTTAGTATTCAAGCATGTGCTCACCCCCATTTTTGCGATACAAGTAAGAGTTCACTTACTTATCAACACCTATAATGTCTGTTCTCCCTTTTAGGTCAGATCTGCAGCAAATAAATAAGGGCCTAATGTTTTCATTCTGATACTGGTTTTTATAGCTATATTCAAGGCTAGTCGAAGCATCTACATTATCAGCCTTCAACATAACCTAGGGGGAAAAGAATAACAACTAGGTACCACTGGCAAGCCTGAATAATTAGGAGGAAAAACTGGTAGAAGCTGTACATTTTCAGGAAATTACATGTTGTATTTACCTTATATTCCATTTAATGATGAGTTGCTATATGCCTGGTCCATTCCCAACTTCATCTTCTGTCCTTGATAGTTTGATAAGGTTCTGGGAAAGATTCCTCAGGAACTTAAAAGACATTCCAGAGTAAGAATGTGAACAAGAGAAGGGAAAAGATTCGGTAGGTGGACAGTAGCGAGCTTTTATCAGGAATGTCAGAGAAGTAGTGGAGCAAGAGGAACAGAAGCAGCTTCACTCCATTATAATTAACTTGCAGTGGGCAGAAAAGGCAGGCACTGAGCCAGCTTCTCCACTTTATAAACAGTAAATCTTTCTTCTGTGGTGATGTTGTCAAGATGCATGGCAAGACTGCATCAGTATGGTGAAATGTAAGTGTGTGGGACTCTCTGGAGAAGCATCAAGTCTACAACTTTGTCCAGAACACCTTAAACATAAGCAATTAGTAATATGGGGTGAAACATTTCGAGCAGATATGACTGGCTAAGTGGCATATATGCCAGGATATTCCTAACAAAATACTCATGAACAGTATGTCAGTCCTTTAGCTTAATAGTATCTCTGTATTAGAAAATTACTAAGCTGAAAGCATGTCATCATTTAGGTTTTTTTTTTTTTTTTTTGACAGGCAGAGTGGACAGTGAGAGAGAGAGACAGAGAGAGAAAGGTCTTCCTTTGCCGTTGGTTCACCCTCCAATGGCCGCCGCTGCAGCCGGCGCACCGCGCTGATCCTGGCAGGAGCCAGGATCCAGGTGCTTTTCCTGGTCTCCCATGGGGTGCAGGGCCCAAGCACCTGGGCCATCCTCCACTGCACTCCCTGGCCATAGCAGAGAGCTGGCCTGGAAGAGGGGCAACCGGGACAGAATCCGGCGCCCCAACCGGGACTAGAACCCGGTGTGCCGGCGCCGCAAGGTGGAGGATTAGCCTATTGAGCCACGGCGCCGGCTCTATTTAGGTTTTTCAAGAGCCAATTTAACCTATTGTGTTCCTTGCTTACAAACTGCAGCTGTGTAGTCAGTAACTTCCTTAAGATGTTTTTACTATGCAAAGGGGATTGAAAGAACTGTTAACTATTGAGAAGTCAGAATGTTGAGAAATGTTTGCCTACCTCCTCTTCCTCACTGCCTCACCCCACTCTCAAATGGTGGTCATGGGGAGATACTATCAGTGAACCACGGTGGCTACATGTAAACACCTGTTCCACAGCTAGTACTTATTATCACCTTTGTCTAAAATCCTGTAGTACCAGTTTTTCACTGGGAGGGGAAAAATTTAAAACACCCAGCCTTCCAGGTAACACTAGTACTGATTGATCAAAGTTGACAAGCTTTGGCTGCTTGTATAAAAACTATCTCAACCTTGTTCCAATGAAAAGAACCACAGGAAATTAATGGGAAGAGTATGCAGAGATAAAGTAATCCATTTTCTGTACAAATTGTGATTTTACATTTTAAACTATAATGGAAATGATCTCAGTTATGTTTTGGGGAATTATTCCTGAATAATCTTTTTTAATTTTAGGAAAAAACTGTATCCAACAATTCAAAAATGGCAGAAGTGAAGTCAATGTTCCGCGAAGTTCTTCCAAAACAAGGTATCTACATCACAAATACTTAGGACTATCATAGGGACCTAGAAAGTAACAGCAGAATAAAACCTCTGCAGCTATTCTGTTCTTTTATGTCACATTTACTGTCCACTGTTACTAGATGAAGTCTTCAAAAAGTTCATAAAAATGTTTTGTGAAAAAAATGCATGGATTTTCTTTATTGCAGCAATATAAACCTTGTCATTCACTTTTTCACAGACTTTTTGAAGTATCCTCATACAATTTTAACAAGTAGGCTATAAGAGGAGGAAGTAAATGAGGCAGTGGTTCTTATACCTGCAAATCCTGTTACCCAAGATTGCAGATTATATGAAATTTTTAATGAAGTAATTCAATTCAGAAATATCTGAAACTGAGGAAAAAGAAACCAAAATTAAACATTACAAAAAGTTAGTTTACATTAAGGGTTTCATAACTGGAATAGTTATGTTAAATTAATGTACTTTGCTGTATTTTTATGTACTATGTATATATTTTCCTAAATGTTATTTTAAATTAAACAGCTGACACAAAATGTTGTATATCTTATGGTAGTTTAGTCTTCAGTAGGAATTCAAAACTTGTCTTCCTCAGGACCACTGTAGTGTTAAGAAATGTTGCCTATGGGGTGACTTTGATCTTTCTGCTCCCACAGCAGAACTCAGTCTAAAAGATTTTCACTGAAAATGGTTTGCCTTTGGACTTTAATTCTAGTGCAAGTCCATATCACCAAACAACTGGGTTATCCTTCACAAACTAATTCTTATTTCTTGTCAAACTTAGGGCAGTTGTCTGTGGAAGATGTAACCACAATGGTGCTGTGTAAACCAAAACTTTTGCCCTTAAAATCTCTGACTCTGGAAAAACTGGAGAAAATGCAGCAAGCAGCACAGGATACAGTTCGCCAACAAGAAATGGCAGAGAAACAACGGCAAATAACACACTAATAACCTACCACTTTAGGGAACTAGGAATCACCCTAGCTTACCTACTATTCAGTAGTAACTAGAAAATAATCTGGATCTGTAAACTGAAAAGTATTTGTTAATAAAACTGATATTCATAGAAATACTTGTATTGGTATTGGTATTTCTAAATAAAGACCTATATTGGTGAATTTAAACACTGGTTTGTATTGAACAGTTAATGCTGAAGCAATAAAGTTATTTTTTTACTTAAACCATGTTTTTAAAATTGCATATCATAATTCACCATTCCTGTTGGCCATCAGTTTTATAAGGCAGCATTCTTAGCACAGTGATTAAATGCAACCTTCTTTATACAGAGGATCATATCAGGCTTTTACATTACCCACATTACAGTAAAATTTACTTGAGAGTAATTTGAGGTTTTTTAACCAATTTTGTGTGTCTCTATCATCTTTATACCATTTTGCTGACCAGTAATGGACAGTAATGGTCTAATGATGAGAAAACTATTTCTTAAACAAATTTGACTTTTAAGAAGCCCTTACCTATTCTGTAATCAACTTAAGCTCTTAATTGTACTAATTTTAAGGACTTAAGAATTACATGACTACTTTTATGACTCAGGTATCAAACACAATTAAAAATCTGGAAATGGTTATCGTGATTATCTATATAAGCCTAAAATAACGTGGTTTTGAAAGAGCCCATGATAGAAACATGAACATTAAATTTGGAATTTTAATTCTAGTAAGACTGAACTAGAATAGGAATAGGTATATTCCTAAGAATACCTCTGTAAACTATTAATGTAATTCTTGGTTGATTTCTTGGAGTTGATAGGCAGTTAAAATTAGCACATACCTTTAGATCTGGCCAAATATTTAAGCTTTGCAGAAGTCAGAAATGTGTTACTTCTTTAGAACTAAAGGATTACTGATGGTAGGTAGTATTTTCTCAAGACACTGGATAAATGTAAGCTTTGAATCTCTGAACACTAATCATTTTGGTCATATAATTTCAGAATGACCAAAGAAAGCTATTATGTATCTTACAGAAACTTTCATTAAGTTTTAGATCAGATCAGTAAACAAGAGAGTCAAGCATGTATGCATTTTCCTCAGTGTAGTCTTAGAAGATTTACTATTATACTTGCAATTTAAAGGTTTACAAGCATTATTTTTTATAAAAGTTTGCTAGGAGCACAGCTTAAATTCCCCATATTCAAATGTGCTTCCTTACATGATTTAAGATTTGTTGTGTGAAATTAAAAAGTTGTTTAAAAGACCTAAAATAAATGTACTCAAAAAAAATAATCAACACAGCTTCACATGTTTTATTTTGTTGTACATTCTTCTAGAACCGGCTTCATTTTTCCAGTTTTGTAGAAAAATAGATGTTCCAGCCACCATTTACTTAACTGTCTAGTCTTTAAGACCAATTAGTATGTTCCCTGGAAAGATGAATAAGTCTCATGACTACTCATTTTTAAAAAATTCTTTAAGACAAAGAAATAACTTTTTTTTTTACTCCCAAAGCACAGTATTTCAACAGCAGCAGCCAACATGGGGTTTTAGCAGCTTAACTTTAGCCCCCTAAATAAAGCTTTCTATAAACCAGTGATTTTACTACAAAAAAACACTGTCCTTGAAAGAAAGGAGTGGCAGTCAGACATCAATGCAAAACTTGGAATGATTAGATCATAAACATGGCACTTACAAAAGGTAGCTTATTGGAATATTCCACTTGAGAAGTGGTTACTTTTCTGTCCCTCCTTTACCCCCTCAAAAAAAAAAAAAAAAAAAGAAAAAGAAAAAGAACACTTCCTTTAAAAAAAATTCCCCTTAAACATAAGTTTATAAAATTTCAGAAATGACTTGTACTCAAAACAAGTGCTTAAAAAAAAAAAACAAAAACACCTGTGCTAACTCTTACAATTCAGATATATATTTTTTAACATCTAAGACTGTAAGAGTTCTTATATTCAGTAGCTCTCTGGTTTAAGACGACCTCCATCTCCTTCACTTACAAAACGCTTTCTGCCCCTGTAATGAAAAGAACAAATACATGAAAATAAATACACATCCTGATTGTACTCAATGGAAAAAACAAAGAGAACTTGGTTCTTTTAAGGGAGAGGGTGTGGGGAACATGTTAAATTTGGAGGACTTTCTTTGTCTTTTTTTAAAAATTAGTATGCTTCTAATCCCTCTGAAAAACTTTACATCTTACAAAACATCCAGTGAATACTAAACTGGTGTAGTTTTTGTGTCAATAAGTTTGATTATATTAAAGTTCTTTGTCTAAATGGAGCCATGTTTTTTCAAAAACATTTTATTTAAAAATTCAGCATTTGTTTCTATCACATTATTATTTAAAAACTAAGCAGTGAGCCAAATAAAAACAATCAAATGATTTAGAATTATGCAAACTAGCTATGGAAACCAAAGTATCCATGCTTAATAATTTTTCTACGAAATTTTCCCAACTGTAGAAAAGTCATAACTTGAATGTAGAAAAAAAAATCCAAGAAATTCTAGCCTATGCTTCATTTGGGGATTCCTGCCCCTTCAAATTCAAGAAGCCCTGCTCTACATTGTAACAATTCTAGGTACATGCAGTAGCAAAACCCAGAATGAACAGCTAGCCAGCAGCTGAAGGCCTGAGCAGGATTAGCCCCTACTTTCTGACCCCAGGCTAACATGTAGGGGCAGGCAGACCACACGCAAATGTGCTCTTCACCCAAATAAGCAAAAGGATAGAGGACAAAGTAAAAGTTGTCTGGAATACACTCAAGGTTTAGTTATCTCCTCAAATAACCCTTGAGAGTAAAGTCATAATAGAAATATTCAGACTTCCAAACAAAGGCTGAAAAACTTCTTAAAAGCCAGTGTCAAGGGATCCCTTTTCGTATGTATTATGGCTAAGTGAAAACCAGCTATATTTTCTTGAACATAAATGCTTCAGATGATGGGAGACCAAGGGACAGCATTAAGCAGTCTACAGCAAGAAGTCTTGCCAAAGGTGAGCATTTTTATGAATAAATATCACTTGGCACATCTGCACATAAATAGTGTCATTACCAAGCAGTTTCAGTATTTCCAAACATCACTAAAGCCATTAAAACTCGATCCTCCAACATTTTGTTTTCCTTCTCTTTTAATGGCTTCTAAACTTTCTAGAGCAAAGGACACTACTAGAAAATATTTTTCCACAATTTAATTTTCACAATGCACTTCAATAAAAATACTCAAAGTCTAGAAATTTTACCAGATAAAAAATTTATAAAAACTTAAAAGCAAGAAGTTGAGCTATTACTAAACATTTATACCTATTTACAGTATAAGCTTTGTTATTGGCTTTAATACAACAAAATTTAACTCTTTAATACTGAGTTACATCAGGTTAACACAAATATAGTACCTCTAAAGAAAAACATCACATCCAGATCCAATCAGCCTCAATTCTCCAAATTGTTAAGTAAATGAAGCACAGGAAAGAACCTAGATTTTGAAGCCAAAAAATGCCTGAATTCATACTTGACCGGTAACATGTACTATTCCTCAGACCTTAGAAAAGACGCATTACACTTTGTTCATCTTATCGGTTGTAACACCTACTCTGAAGTAACATTTAAACTACCTAGCACAAAGCCCAGAATACAGAACTGCAATACAAGGTTAGCTTCCTTCTAATGACTAGGGTCTTTGTGAGATACTGGGAGAAAAACTTCACTCTTGTTTCTCCATAAATTCAAAACAGAAATTCTTACTCCTCAGCAACTTCAGAGAAGATGTTAATTTTCTTACAGAGCTGAAGACAGAAAACTGTCCTAGCTTAGTCTTCCAAATCACCTCATCAAGATTTTATATTGAGAAAGTGGTATTTAAATTAAGTACCTTGAAGGACAGAGATCTCTGAGTTGTTTGGATATTATGCCAGCCTGAAAACATTCTTCTACAAATCGCTCCAGCACAGAGTATGAATGTGGGACATCCAGATTAATGTCAGGAATTTCATTGTAAATTCTCTCATAACCCTAAAGCAAATTATATACAGAACTGTTAGCCCACATAAATGCAATCAACCCCTCATGTCAATCTGTTTTGAAGGCCAAATGTTCACACAGTTAAACTGAAGTCATATTTGAACCCTGAAATAACATTTCAAAGTTCATTTGTTAGAGAATGTTTCCTTTGAAACATTTTTTAAGATTTATTTATTTGAAAGGCAGCAAGACAGAAAAAGAGATCTTCCATCTACTGTTTCACTCCTTAAATGTCCACAAAAGTCAGAGCTGAGTGACAGAGGAAGAGACAGAGAGAGATCTTCCATCTTCTGGTTCTCTCATCAAACAGCCACAAGCTAGGAGCCAGGAATTCCATCCTGGTCTCCCATGTGGGTAGCAGGGGTCCAGGCACTTGGGCCATCTTCTGCTGCCTTCCTAAGTGCATTAGCAGGAAGCTGGATTGGAAGCAGAGCAGCCAGGATTTGAACTGGTGTTCTTACAGGGACAGAATGCCGGCATCATAGGCAGTAGATTGACTCACTGCACCACAATGCCAGCCCCTAAAATGGTTTTCTTAAAAGAGCTACAGACACTGGGCAAACTCCTTCCCCATCTACTTCTCCACATATACTTACTGCCTTTTTAAAAATACAGTGCAAAATAAGAACCTGGCAAACATTTCAACAGTGTGTACAATTTTAAATAGAAAACTAGACATAAAGGTGTAATTTGTTAAAGGTTTCTGTTTCTTTCTAGATATAAAATAGAAATGAAGACATCTTAGAAAATTAGATCATTAAGACAGAACACATGATCACATTTTTTAAAAATAAGCAAAAAACCCACTGAGGTGTTACTTTCCAAGAAATGGTTGCAAGAGGTTCAAACTTCAAACACTACCATTAAAATAACAAAACCCAAAGGCAGGCATTTGGCCTACAGAACACTGCTTGGCATGTCTGCATCCCATATCGTAGTACCTGGGTTCAAGTCCCAGCTCCACTATTGATCCTAGCTTCCTGCTAATGCGCATCCCTGGGAGGCAGCAAATATAGGTCAATTAGTTGGTTGCCTGCCATCCACGTGGAAAACCTGGTTTGTGTTCCTGGCTCCCAGCTTCAGTTTGGCCTAGCCCTGGCTGCTGTGGGGGAATGAACCAATGGATGGGAATATTCTTCCTTTCCCTCT